TAAAGAATTTTGTATTTGCTCGACGAGTAATGCGTCGCACATTTTTCGTTTCACTTTGGTAAATGCACGCATAGATACGCCGCTATATATATATATATATATATATATTCATATCCATAGCAAGGTTTGCAAGGAGAGGGAGGGAGAGGATTTATCTTATTCCCCCTCCCTCGTGTTTTATTGTTCCCATATATTGCCAGGACTGTTTATGATGAAAGACAACGAGAGATGATGTATCCATCCTGCTTGCCATGCATGAAGTATCCCCTATTCGACATACGTTTTTCGAATTTTTTTTTAATAACGAAAATAACGAGTGTTCCCCGTTTAAGAGAAACGAATTAATCGTGGATTATTGTTTTGAATTGAATACGAATTTTATCTATTCATCTATATTGGAATTCGATGGACGATTAAACGAAAGGGATAGAGTTAGAAAGAAAAATAAGAAACAACGATGATGAAATTTATGTTTCGATCTGTAGATCTCTTGACGGCAATTCTCAACTTAATATCCTTTCTTTATAAATGCAAGCATCTCAAGAGGTACGATATCATATTGTATTCAATAGTATAAATCAGACGCCCTATGTATTTCATCCCAGGCAAAATTGAATTCTTGAACGAGGGTGGATATCTTAATATAAAAAAAATAAAATCTCATGTGACAAACTTGGAGAGAGAGCAGAGAGAGAGAGAGAGAGAGATCTCTACAAAAAGACGAATATACGGAGTGCTCCAGTTTGTTCCTGTTAAACATTCGTCGAGATGTTTTATAGATATAAATAAAAAGAAGAAAGGGGGTATTATATGAATGCAGCAGGTCTTTTGAAGCTTTATTAAAATAGAATAAAGAATGCAGAAAAGTATGCAGAAAATTGAATCTATCCATAATCTATCTATGTTGTATATTAAACATAAATATTCAATGGACGTAAGATTATTAATAATAAAAGATCGATTAATTTTTACGCGAAATAGTTGTTGTTACACAAAAGATAATTAACAATATATTAACTGGTAATTTCTAAGGTTATAATTGTTAGTTAAACGTCGGTTGCGATCTCGTGGCATGATTTATCGAACGATTCCGACGAGCCAATCGAAACAGATCGCGGGTTTCACACGCGCGGGTGTTTCAGATACGTATGCAACGTTTGAATTAAACTGATTCATAAATATTAACACTCGGTGTTTACGCTGCGGTGCACGATACACGAGCTTATATTCGTAAAGCGAGCCTCGTGTGCATCGTATGCACGTGACATAATAATTCCTCGACAATGATGCAAAATTATACGTTCGAGTGTTGGCCGTCTACACTGCGAATACTAACGAAATATTTTTCTTAATCTTGTTTTCGGTAACGAGTAGAAAAGTTTCATTTCGAAAATTCGGATTTTTCGCGTTTTATCGGGTACATATAATCGTTAATAAAATCATAAAACGATAAAATATTTTGAAATTAAATTTTTGCGATTACATTTCTTTTATAAACACACCGATTAAATTTTATCGTAATCGTTTCATTCATTCGTGTACAGGAAACAATAGATCGTTATTTTTCATTGAAATTTCCTTCGTATCGGGATATAAAACGGGTTTACGATATATTGCACGCGATGTATGTCAAATGGCAATTTTGACAATACACGGGATACGTACTTATCACGGATATCACAGTTAAGTGTGCATGAATATTTTCGAAATTTTCAATTTTCCCAAAGCTTCGTTAAAAAAAAAATAAAAAAAATAAATAAAACTCTTTTCATGGGGAATTTATCACGATTACTATCACCATATATATATGTATAAATAAAAAATTATTAACAAAAATTCAATAATACACTTTCCAAACCTCTATCCACCCCATCTATCGCCAATTCATGACACTCCAATCGAATACAAAAAAAAAAAATTATTAATAAAAATTCAACGACATAACTAAATCCTTTCCTACTATCCACCCTCATCACCAGCAACATCCATAATACCTCAACCAAATCGCTCGACTCACCCTTCTCGATCCAAATTTCCCTCCCTCCAAAAATAGATTCCGTAGAATCACCGCAAAGTCAAGACCCCCCCCCCCCTGTCAACAACGGCCGGTTCCTCGACCGGAAGCCTCTTGGCGCGATACAATCTTGCCCTCTCTCGTGAAATTTCGCAATAAATACTGGTGGAAACTTTTCGAGGAGAGATGGCGCGCATACAGGAATTGAAGTTAGAGAGAGAGAGAGAGAGAGAGAGAGAGAGAGAGAGAGATTCCCCATTGTTGCCATGGATGGCGTACGTGGCACACATCGAGGGTATAGGAGAGGGAGGGAGGGGGAGGTATACACGACAATGGAATACTTAGATCCACCCCTGTTGGTCCACCCCCCACGGCATTCTCCATTGTCTCATGATTTATGTGCCGTGGTCGCGGTGTCAACAGGGTATTGATTAAAATACACGGACACACAGGCACACGTATGCGTGTGCATACGGTGCGCACGGGCACGAGGAGGGGCAACGGTGGGGGGAGGGAATTTATGCACAACGACCGAACGGTGGACGCGAACATCGTTGTCCCTCGTTGTAAATCGACCGGGCGCCGTGTCGATTGTCGTTCCCGTAAAATGCGAAACGAATCGAACGAATCGAGCTTCCGTCTCGCGAATCGCTTTAAGGTGCCTCTAAACTCTTTTTCTTATATCAATCATCATCTATTTCGATCTTCTTCTAAAAATTGTATTTGAACGTCTTTTAACGTAATACTAGTTTTAGTTTTCTCTTTGCAACGTGACTAGTTAATTAACGAATATTTCTTCTGGGAAAAAGGGGGGAATTCGATAAGGAAAAACTCTTCTCGTCAATTGTGATTCCACTCACGAGGAACGTACCCTTAAACGGTTAATGGTAGCCTCGTCACCCTTCCTCACCCTCCAAAAGCCAACGAACTACCCCGTCACAATATCGGCCGGACGGGGATAAACTCGCCCTTTCGAAGAGAAGCCTGGCACGGATATTCGCGGCGGGGTGACTCGTTACCTCGAGAGAGTCATCACCCCCGCCCCGACTTTTCACCCTCTCGAGAGTCGAGCCTCCCCTTGCTCCTCCTTCCCATCCATCCCTCGTCCGCCTTAGAGCGTCGCCAACTCCTCTTCCTCCGCCATCGTTTTATTTATTATCCGGACGGGGGTTGTCCCACCGACCGTGGCCAACTTTCCACCGCGGCTCGCTGAACCGGCTCCACGCGGTATTTGGTGCGTGAACCGCGCATTCATCGTCGACGCGCTCTCTTTCTCACCCCTCGAGCTTCCATCCATCCAGCGGCTTTTTCTCCTCTTCCTCCTCCACGCGTCTCAGAAACCGCCTTTCGACTAATTGCGGCCGCGAGTGAAAGACGCGCAATAATGAATATCTTCTTTTTCGTGATACGTGGAGGCTCGCGACCACTTTTCTTTCTTTCTTTTTTTTTTTTTTTTTTGATATTCGAAGAGACGCCACGTCACGGGGTGGAATTAGATTCGTGAAGGATAACTCATTTTCGAAGAGAACGGGGATTTTTTTTGGCAGTAATTTAATGCTACGTAAATATTCTATTCGAATTCTCAAGAGAAGAATTGAAAATTACATCAAATATAATATCAACGATTCCAATTCCAATCCGTTTATCGAACGTTGGAGAGAGTCAAAAGTTTGGTGAACGCGGAGGACCGGAAATTCGTATAATAGGGAGAGATAAATCGTGACCATTATAGAACGGTGCACGAACGAAACTATTAATATCCCATCGCAAAAGCAGACGTTAACTTGGTCGCGGGTTGAAAGCCTATAACGGATATTCTGGCCCGGCGTTAATACGTAAATGCGTATTGATAGTGCGCGCAAGCGGCACAGACGAAAGATGCTCGCATTATTACGTGAAATTACAATAGATCACGGCCCATGAATCGCGCGTGTTCACGCCGTTATATAGAAATTTACCGCTCCTCGAACCGACCAACTCTTCCGAACGTCATACGTTTTTTACGTTCCTTCGAACTCGTCCAAATTAAGACTTCGTGTTGCACAGTAGATTCACATATTCTTTTTCACGTGTATACTATAAGCGAATATTATTATTATTTCGACGTCGATTTCTCATTTTCTCTCTTCTCTCAAAAAATGATAGATCGCTAAATACTTTTTCCTGAACGATTTTCAAATTCGAATCTCGTGTTTCGTGGATTCGGACGAATATCGTAAAGTCGCTTCGTATCGAGATTTTATATCCGTTTCGAAATTGAGCACGGTATTGGAGGAAAAATTGGATGATTTGTTTTTTTCTCTTTTCTTTTCTTTCTTTTGGGACAATACAGTCTGGCGGATATGCATTATGTATAACGTGGGACTAGGGATTTGGTATGAATGTTTATCGCGGGCTCCGTGAATATTTCCCGGAGAATAACGATTACTGGGAACCACGTGCTGTGCAATTTCGCTCGCGACACCGACGATCCTTAAAACGGGATCCCCGAAGGACCACGTGGCACACTTTTTAATCTTTCGTTGCTTCGTGAAGTATTTCGAAAGAGTGGTGATATATTTTCTTTCTTTTCTTCTTTTTCTTTTCCTTTTTTTTTCTTTCTTTTCTTTCGGATGCTCGTCGTTTGGAATGAAAATTTTTTCGCGTTGAGAAAATATGGAAATTCTTCATGATTCGCGATGAATTTTTTTGTATTTTTATATCTTATGTAATTTTAACAAGAGTATATATATATATATATATATATTTCGATACTTCTTCTTTTTTTTTTTTTTATATATATCTATTAGAGATTATTCAGGCATTCTTTCTTGTGTGTTTTCTAAAAAATAATTAGAAACAAGAATTTTCATTTTCACGAATTTTGACTTTCTTGAAAATCTTTCGTGCCAGAAACATAAAAACAAAATAAAATTCCTGCAATAATTGAACTCAAGTCGTCGTAAAAGTTCCAAAACACACAAAAAAAGTCAATGCATTTACTCACCTCGATATATAACTTTGTTGAACACGCTGGTTATGATCTGCAGTTCAGGATTTAACGTCTCTCCAAGCTGGAACAGAGAAAAAAAAAAAAAGATTTCTTTTGAGTATCGATACTTTGAATATCAAAATAAGAAAGAGAGACAAGTGTTGTACTCTCTCGTTCATTTTATATCCTAATACGTTTTTCATCGATTTCCCATGAAATGGGAGTCTCGACGCTGCTGCTAAGTGCACCGCATAAAGAGCCGTTTCGAAACTTCCACGCTGGACGGCCATTAAAGGTAACCATAAAAGGCTAAAACCGACAGGCAACTCTGTAAAGTAACGATAAATAATAAAAGCTTATCGAGGGTGGATCGAGAGTTTCGTCGTTTCCGCCTGATCTTGATTACCGATCTAAAAGATTCGCAGATCGCGAATTCGATGAAATTTTATATCTTTCCTCTCTTTTGAAATGGTATATTATTTAAAACAATACAACACATAACAACACGAAATAAATTGTCAAGTAAGTAGCAAAGAGAGTAATGTTCTATGACGTTCCATTTTTTTTTCTTGCAACTTGAAAATTCAAAGTGCAATTTGTCCAGAAAAATTACATCCACATATATGAGATAAATTTTTCTTAACAGGAAAATTAAAAATTAAGATCCATTTAGATTTCAGGATGTTAAAAAAATTAATCGAAATATCGTCCATATTCAAAATGATCGTAATTTTAATCCGGAATTTAGATATGATTACTTCGGTTATTGGCAGATTTTACGATCATAGTCTTCGTTTTAATACCATTTTTACCCCGCCCATCCTCGTTCCTCTTTCAACGCAAGAGTCTCGTTAGTGAAAGTTGGAAACGACTTTACGAGTGTCATCGTTGTGCTCCGTTTAGAAATTCATGGCGTTTTATGGTTTATCCGTTATTCAGATCCGCCATCGTGGTTGAAGAAGTGTTAACACCCAACTGTCTTCCGATCAATCCAATATTTTCTTATGAAAACGAAATAAAATATCATAAACGCGGAGAACAATTTTTATTTTTCCATCGAGATTTAACGTTTCTCGAAAATTTTTATATTATTCCTCGATTTCTGAATCGCAAAAAACGCGATATTACAACAAACGCGACGGTGTGATGAGATTTTTAAAATATTCTCTCCGAGTACCGTGGAAGGGAGCTGGAAGTAAATATTCTTACAATATCCGGTGTAATTATCGCGTCTTCATCCGGCGGACAAAATAGAGGTAAGCTGGATTATTAGCTTCCGAGCGCGATAACTTATTAAGCGATAATAAAATTTTCAGCTGCTCGTAATAAGGCGGAATCAATGGCCGGGTTATCGTATTATACAGATCATTCGGTTTAATAATTTAAACGAAACGATTATTGCTTTCTACTTGCCATGTTAGATTTAACATGTAAGCAACATTTCTTTCTAAACACCTGATAACAATCAACGATTAAATTCCTTTCAAAATTACATACGTACATATATATCTCTAATAATCTAATACTACATTTCTCAAAAATTTCACGTATCGACCAATCATTACACGGATCTCTCACCATAAAAATTACAAATATAGCTTCCAATATTATCTGAGATATCCTATCCTATCACATCTTCCTCTCGATTATAATAACACCGCTTCTCGAATTCACAACTTCTCGACAAAGAATTTCCACACGGTAGCGGCGTGCCAAGCTTTAACAGGTGCTCGATCTAAGTAACAGCGTGGCGCGGGTGGCGGCTGTTGACGGGTGTGATTCAAACGGATTATACCCCAGGGGATGTGTCGGAGGGATAAGATCGAAATGAGTCGTCGGTGGCACACACCTTACCCTGTCAACAGTACCCTCGAACAATACCTGGGTAAATCAGCTCTCACCCGGATATTTTCAGTGGCCGCTCGTTTTCACCGGGATGGATTTATCGACTCGAGTTTTAGCCAGTTTTGTTCGTTGGATCCTTGACGCTCCTGGGTGGGAATTAACCGGGTGGCCGGGGTTTTAATGAATGCGGGGCGAGGTGGCGGAATTATATTGGTGGGAATGTTTGCGTTGATTGAGGGGGATGGAGAGGGGAGGCTATGTGGCTCTTATGCAATTTTTTTTTTTTGGCGGGTATTTGTCCAAGAGACTTCGAAATAATTGTTCCGCAATAAGAATGCCGCGAACGAAACCTTTCCATACGTTTCCCCCTTTTTCATTTTTCTTCGATTTTATTCATAGGAAATTTCATTGGATCTATACGGGATGCGTTATTATAAATTCTCCCCTTCTAACTTTTTGCGCCTTCTTCACTCAGCTGAAATGTATCATTTTTTTTTTTTAATCTTTGATCACGAATTCTTCTCTCTCGAGCAAGTATAGCGTTGTAGTTTTTGGCTTGAATTTTTCTTCCTATTCCTCTTTCCCTCCCTTATATCTCGAAAGAAAATCTGGAATAGAAGTAACGCTATGTTAGAATTATTGGAGAACGTTTGAGTCGATTAAAAGAAAGATGCAGGGTGGCTGATGATTTTTATATTCTCCCTATCCTTTTCTATCTTAATTATCTCCTCCAGAAAGGAAGAAAAAAGAAAAATCCTCTCGATATTATATTACCTTGTTTCCCGAAAATATCCAAGCAAATGATCCGTATTCCAAGCAACCGCCCCTCGTCCTTAATGCATCCTCTCCCCCACTCTCTCACCCCCTTTTTTCTTGCCCTATGTCTCACGGTCGCGCTAAAGACCGTGAAAAAGGAAGGAGGGGGGTGGAAGTGGAGGACGGCTCGCAGCGAGACCTCGAAAATTTATTCCGGAGGGGATGAAAGGGGGCAAAACCGGCTGCGATGAGCAAGCTTTTTCGCGAGGATGCGCGCGCTCTTTCTTCCCGTCCCGGTCTCGCGTCGTTAATTCCACTGGTTTTGGCGACCACTGATTTTGGGTAATGATTTGGAAACTTTTTTTGCAGGATTTTTGTGTCATTAGCGGTTCAACGAATTCATCTCCTCCAGAGGGAGGGGAGGGAGGGAAGATTACGCTCAGAAGGGGAGGGAAGAACAGCGATTCGGTGTTTTTTTTGATGAACATTGGTACGCTGACGATGGATATTAATAAGGAGGAGGGTAATTTTTTGACAAATTTTGAACAGTGGGTTTTATTTTTGAATAATATACAAGGTTAGGGGGTTAGATGGTTATTCTTTGGAAAAGTGGAATTTGTTCGATGAACGTTACTTTAAATCGATTAATGTTAGATTTAAGATCGACTAGGGGGAGGTTTCAATAATTTTTAATCGATATTATAATACATGGGATAAACGATGATTTCAATAGAGTTAACCGATAGGCGAGTGTTTAAATGGAAATGTACGGATTCGAATATGATATTTTGGATTTAATTAATTCGGGGATTAATTCGAGGGAGGTAGAAATTTCTACATAGAAATCGGCCGACTTGTTTCTGAACGGATAAACGAGGATAAAAGGATCGAATGACTTTCAATCCCTTTATTCATATTCGACGGGAGATTTCGCGATATACTTTTCAAATCACTCCCGCGTTCAATACCTCTTTCAAAAGATTAATCGAATCTGCAACGATAATATTCGAGAAACGTATTAAAAATCATTCCACGTCGTGGCGATAATTCGATAGAAGGGACAAGTCAATGTTTCGATAAACAGTCGAAACGTCTGATTCCGTTGAATTATCGTGGCAGAAATCAGAGGCATAAACGCTTGTTTCCTGCCGTTTGTTGCCTCAGAATCGTGGGCTTTCCAGTTTCTTCTAGCGGAACGCCGGTTCCAGAGAGAGATGAACAGAGCAAGAGAGAGAGAGAGAGAGAGAACAGAGGATCGTCGAACTGAGAGAAGAAAATGCGAGGGTATGGGAGCGTGGTTGGAACGAGCTGGCGAAAGCAGAGCGTTTCCTTCGAAACTTTGGAATTTATTCTTGGAAGAAACGCACCTCACCCGCGGAAAACCTGGCGGGTATTTGTCTAAGAGACTTCGAAATAATTGTTCCGCAATAAGAATGCCGCGAATGAAACCTTTCCATACGTTTCCCCCTTTTTCATTTTTCTTCGATTTTATTCATAGGAAATTTCATTGGATCTGATATCTGGGATGCGTTATTATAAATTCTCCCCTTTTAACTTTTTGCGCCTTCTTCACTCAGGTGAAATGTATCATTTTTTTTTTTTAATCTTTGGTCACGAATTCTTCTCTCTCAAGCAAGTTCTTTACTTTTTCAATACTATAATTCTATGTTAATTTTATCAAATAATTTCAAATATTTATTATCGGAGGGATTATTCTTAAGCTCCCTTCTTCTTGTAATTTCATTTTCATCCCTTTTAATTTGGAATCAAATTAAAAGAGGGAGAGGAGAGTTTTTGCAAGACGAAATCAACGAATGTTATTTAGAATTTCATAAGGGAAATTCGTAACTTTGGTAATTTCCTTGGCTTTGATAGTAGCGATTATTATGATAGAATAATTATTTCGATCGAAGGGACACAGTAAACACGCGATGCCTCGCTCGCAAACTCGACTTGCAACAAATTTCAAACTAGCATGAACCAAACTATCCCCCGATCTATAGTATCCTACACCCGCTAACTCTTGTTTCCGAATCCCTTGGCTCTTGTTATCCATCATATGAGAATTTATCGTCGTAACGTATTTTCCCCCCCCGATTTCTATGCTTTTCCCTTTTAATAATGGGTCGATTAATTTAAACGAAATGAAATATAATCGAAATATTTATACTCGACGATGATGATATTGATTTATATTTTCTTTTTATTTGTTTCATTGTTATTTTATCGATCGTTTTATTTCTCGATACAATCCTCCATATTTATTTATTTATTTATTTATTTATTTATTTATTTATTTATTCCCGAAATGAAAAGAATTATAAATGGTTTTTTTTTATATATATGTATATATATACATATATATAAAAATAATTCTCACGCATGTACATCCACATCCTCCGCTCATACGTATATCTCATGCATATTCATTTAGCTAGTAATCCCACGGTGGGCCGAGTGAAACGTTTGTTACAAAATTGATGGGAAACAGATGGAACGTACACTTTGCTCAACAATGTAAATACGTTCATGATAACAAAACGTTAATATACAAGAGAAAAATTGATTATACGCAATTTCAAATAATAAATCGTTCATACAGAAACAACGGGAGCCCACGAATTTATACAACCAGCGATTCGTTTTATTTTAACCTCATTTTATCGTTAGCAAATAAAATAAATCTTCGACACGATAAAACCATAAAATTCAACTTAAAATAATATTCGTGATTTAAAAAATGCATATATATATATATAAAAATTTGCGCGGAAGAATTTTATTATATAACATCGATTTAAATTATAAATATATACGGAATATCTTTCGATATAATAATATAAAAGATGAAAATGGAATATACGGTTCAATTGTTCCCAAGGAAACAACAATTGTTTGCTTGTTTAGATCCCGCCAGAATTCTGTTCGTATCGTAACACGGCTGCAAACGTAAACACTCGATCATGCACTATTCCCCAAATATCCAAAGAGGCGAAAACATCATGCCTCCACGGTTTCACCAAATCGTCGATACCTGTTCCCGTTTCCACGTGTAAAAAAGATCTATTCGTGGTTTTATAATTTATAGACAAACAGCAGTAAACAACGAATACGTTAAATTACTGTAATCGTACCAAACATTAATTTCTAAAAATCCAAGCAGAAATCTAAAATCCAATCGGTTCCATTTCCATACATAAACTCAAAAATTCAAATAAAAAAAAAAAAAATCATAATAATTCACCCTTCTTCGCTCTTTCATTCATTCAAACACTACATCATCAACCTTCGTGATAACAATTACCCAATAAAAAAAAAAAATTCACAAAATTCACACACATCTCTCCACGCAATTTTTATCTCCAAAAATCCCCAAACGCTCCAAATTTACCCGAATTGAACGAACGAAATTTCTCCTTACTTGCTTACCTGCACCATCAACGAGATCGCCACCAGCCCCTGACTCTTGTGCTGCGCCTCGCTCATATTGTGGTACAATTCCGCGTTGTACCCGTACACTTGTATCTGGAACAGAGAGAGACACGTGGAACGTGAGGAAATAGGCGGTCAGGATTTATTTTTTTCGCCGCGATCGACAACAATCGCCATTTCCCTCCGTATTTCCCTCTTCTCGCTTTCGGCTCGCAATTACCGCCGACAAATTTCCCTGGGAACAGGGAGGGAAGGGGAAGGAGGGAGGGAGGGAGAGGGATCGCGGCCGCTTTGTGGCACGAGGATAGACGCGTACAGAACCATCGTCTTGCCCGAAATTGCAACGTCCCCCCCTTTTGGTTCCTCCTTCTCCTTTCTCGAACGAATTAATCGTCGAAAGATTTCAAAGGGATCTCTGTCTTTCTCTCCATCGCGAGAATTAATCCTTCGAGCGTAATCCGCCATCTTTGCCTTTCATATATTGTTCGTTATGGACGCGAATGAACGGGATTCTTCGTATTTTTCAGGTTCGTTGTACATCGAATTTGTTAAATTTTGTTAAGTGTATTTTCGAGTATTTTGAAGAGTTTCAGGGGTATATAAATTTTGATATATAAATATTGGGAGGGGGAGGTTGAAATATTCTAAATCATTTTGCTTAATTGTTCCTCATTCGCTCGTGGAATATTGGGATAATTTAATTTAATAACCTTTGAATTTAAATTTCTTTTCCGAAAGAGTGTTAACTATATAATGTTAAGTGTTTCGCGATTTCCAATTGTGAGAAAATAAAATTTCACGCGAAACGATCTCTTTTGACAATTCGACGATCTCGACTCGATCGAACGGAATTAAAACAGTGAGATGTCGAACCCGCAGAAATTGTTTAAGCTGTTTGATCATCGTCGCGGCGATTTATGTTTCATTCCGCTAAACGAGGGGGAGGACTCATGAATAATTTCATCACCGATGAAAATTCATTCTCATCTTGAAACTATACCCTGAATATTTCCACCTGATATTATTCCACGTACGATCATTCGCCGTGCACGTATATCCTATATCTCCGTTTATTTTATACAACCGAGAGAAAAAAGAATCAATATTTCGGAATATTTTCGGATCGGAACGATCTTCGATATATAATAAAAATTCTTCGAGGATATCGCATCGATCGATGTATACCTTTTTTCTTTTTCTTTTTTTCTTCTTTTTCAGACAAACTTTATTAAAGTTTATTATTCATTTATTATTTCGTTCCGATGAAACAAAGATATTTCGTTTTTCTTACGTTCCAATTTTTCTTAATAAATAATCGATCGATAAAAAAGATTCCTTCCTCGTACAATCTTGATATTAATTATTTTTCTTTCTTTCCTTTTTTTTTTTTTTTTTTTTATCACTCGTGAAAAGAAAGTTCGAATTACTACTTCTTTTAGTCGAGGCAAATTCACGAGATTAAGAAATCTATCGATAATAAGGATAAAAAGAAATATCGCGAAGCAATTTCGAATAATTAACGAGACGCTCTTCGAAGAGAAGAGGTTATTAGTTTCTCGGGATTTTTCTGTTAATTTTTTTTCCTTTTTTGCGAAATTATTCTCTCGCCAAGTTTGGTATTAATTTACCCATAAAGACGACTTTATAAGTAGTTCACTGTGAAATTATAATTGCTTTTATAAGTATCGTGTCGATTCCGTATTGGGGAGGTTTTTGAATAAATTTCCGCTACTATTTCTTTTTTTTTTTTTTTTTATTAAAAAATATTAACAAACCTCTCTCTGACTAAATTTTATACGAAATTTCATTATTATATACGAGAAAAAAAAATCCAAGAGCAACAAATATGCAAACACCAAGTTTCCACCAGAAGAAAATTTTTGCAAAATAAAAATAATACGTACACGAGTCCCAAGTGAGATTTAAAGAAAAATTCTGTGCAATTTCGCGGGGAAAATTCCGAAAACCGGAAACGCGTTTAGAAGAGAATGGGACCGATGCTGTTACAGCCATCAGTCTGTCTCCTCGCAATTCCCCTCCTTGTTTTTTTCCTAAATCGCGTCTCGAAGGCGATTCTCAATCACCCCCTCCGGCTGTTTCGCGCACGTTTCCCACGTTCCTTCCACGTCGATGGATATTCGACGATCGTGTAAATTACAGCTGTAAATTTACCAGCCGTGGCCAACAACTGCCGCGTCTCCCTAAATCCCATCCCATCCCCTTCCTTTTTTCGATCCTCGAGAAAGGCGGACAATCGTGTTCGTCGTCATAAATTTCGAGGGAGGGGTGGCTCCAAGTGGACCGATTCGTCTTTCCGGTGTATCGATCCCCTTTATGGTGTCTCGTGAATAACGTTGAATCGTTGATTAGAATTTAAAACCTGGTACGAGTTGACGTGATAGATACGTGGACGTAATACCTGTTTACCCATCCACCAGCTTTCCTTCCAATAAAATTCTTTATTCGACAATTTTTTAATCATGGTGAAAGAAAAAGAAGAGGAAATATAAGATTATTTACGAATTGATGCCAAACTTTAATAATACGCTCTTCTCGTTTGCTATATAATTTAAAAATCTTTAGTTTTTTTTTTTTTTTTTTTTGTAATTATAATATATCTTCCAGAATTTAATTTCCACCGACCAATGTAACCAAAAAAAGGCTGTTTATTAAAAATCCCATTCAGAATATTTCAATAAAAAAAAATATTCTGAACAAAATGTAAACTAAAAAGTTTTACCAATCTAAAATTTCACTTATTATTTTATTTACTAGTCTAAATAGTCTAAAAATTTAAAAATCTATATATGCTTTAAACGTTTCTTAACCAATCCATTACACGTGTTACAAAATTACCTCGATCCTCAAACGTAATTACCATTCTCCTCACAAGTAAAGGTGAAGAAAAATCAAAGGCCGACTTTCAACGGACTTCCTTCTCCAACCAACTCTGCCGCCCTTTCCTCTTTCTCCGGCGTTGCAGAAGCACCCACTTCCGTCGGGTGCTTCAACCTCGTTGAAATGCCTCGACAATGCGACGAGTCGCGCGCCTTCAAAGACGTTTCGCTAACTCCGTTACAACACGGCGAACTTTGTTGCAACAAGGATCGACGAATGGGGAGAACGAGTTGGAGGAATGGAGGAAAGGGGGGGTGGCAGAGGATGAGCGTAAATCCAGCGCGCCTGATCAAAGCACCACTACTAAGAACGCTCTTACGGATTCTTCTCTCTTTCTCTCTTTTCCCCTCTTGAAATTATCCTTCTGTTTTCCCGCGTGCCATTCGCGTGGAAGAAAATTCAGAGAGAGAGAGAGAGAGAGAGAGATTCTCGTTGCCACCGAGATGGATGGAAAATTAAGTGTACGGCTATGCTTCGAGAGAATACTGTAAACAGGATCTTTCCTTCTGTTCTCGTTAGTTTGGAAAGTAAGTTCGTTTGGGAGGCGAGAGAGGGGATGGTGAAGTCATCTCGAGAGAGCGAAAGTGGAATAGATTTGTTATTATCTTTTTTTCTTTTTGGAAAATTCGTTTTAAAAGATAGAATGCTTGATAAACGAAAATGATAATAATTTCGATAAGTTTCATTTTTTTTATATATATTTAACAGGGGAAATCCTTTCAAGTTTGTCATCGAACGATGAAAGTGACATTTGAATTAAAATTTAAACTCGATGTATCCCAATTTTTTATAAAACAAAATCATTCACGATTTCAATGCTGATATCGAGAACAAGAATTTGAATCGTACAAATTTTACTTCATACTTCCCCCCTCGTTTAACGAAACGAAATATTGCGAACGAAGAAGAAAAGGGTACAAGTTATCTCGAATAAAAAAAAAAAAAAAAGAAAAAGGATTCAAAGAAACAACGAATATGTTTACCGATATCGACAATCGTGCCAGCCATAATTAAATTTTCCCTCGTTACATTTTCCAAACGAACGAAAATTCGTGTTCCTTCTATACTCACGTCACGGGGATACACGTAAAAAAATTATATCGGCCAATGATCGAGACAAATTGAATCCGGATCCCGGATGTAAATGAAATTTCACAATTTTCGCCCTATCGAATTCGCGCCGGCCGAAGAGTGCTACCTGCGCCTGCCCCGTACGTACGTGGACGCCGGGTCTCTCCGCGTGTGTGTCGATTTAATTAAATTTTAGGCAGCCGGTGTAATCGAATCCTAGTACAACTGCGATTACGAAAGTCGTTCTATGTTTAATGCCCTGCAGGGAAATAGTAAATGCAATTTAGAACGTCCTGCGGCGCGGTTAATTTATTGATATCGAGGGCGCCACCGTAATTTTGCGCCGGTGCTAATAATGTACGATCAAATTTTAACGAAAACCGCCCGTCCTGGAGGGGGGTGGGAACAAGCGTGGCCAGGGGGAGGGGGTGGGAGGGAAAAAGGAAGAAAGAGGAATTACGCGTTTTAACAAGTTTGGGGAAGAAGCGAAACCGTTCCCCGATACGTTCGAATAATTGCCGGCCGGGATTCGAGGAATTGAACCAGCTTTAAAGCCGAGGGGATGGAAAAATCATTTTGTACGTGGCGTGAAATTTAGTGGAAGTTTGAAAAAAGAAAAAGAAAAGCATTACCACGGTCCTCTTCGTAAAATTCTCTTTCGTAAATTAACGGAATGATATTCCGTTTAATGGAAAAATTTGTCGTGGAAATTAATTAATGTATACGGAGATGAACTTGAGGATTGTGTGAAATATAGCAAAGGAAGATAATTTTAAGAAATTTTTTAGAAATATTCTATTCATATTAGAAAATTTCGAAGAATTCCACCATTGGAATTCTGGAATAAAAACTCCTCCCGCTCTAATAAAAAGGAAAATATCGAGGAAGGAAATCAGAAAGTTTTCAATCCCCGGGTGGAACGCGAATCGAAAAAACAATATTCCGTGAAGATTCGACCTCTTAGACCTCTCTTACTTAGTTTAAAGATCGAAAAGAGAAGATACACCGTTCACACTCTTTCTCAAGAAGCAAGTGTTTTTCCGACGGCTCGTTAGATCGACCGAGTTCGCCACGGTCCACTGGCTGACATCGAGATTCGTTATCGAATCTTGAAAAAGGGGGTT